TTTCACCCAAGTACCTTTTTGTCTTGATTATTGTAGCTTTAAATTTTGAAGTTGAGTAGTGTCCGTTTTCCAATTTTATTCTCCCACATTAATATTGTGTTGCTATTTCTTGCCTCTCTGCATAAATTTTAGAATTTGATTGCAAATATTCCAAAACCAAAACTTGCTGAGAATTTTATTAGGATAACTTGGAAACTCAAATTAGACAGAATGGAAATCTTGATAATATTGAGTCTTCCTATCTGTGATCATGGAATAAATAGCTCTCCTTTAACTTCTCTTTTTTTCATCAGAATTCTAACATTAACTAAATAAGTAGGATGGAAATTATATTTAGGCATTTGAAGACTTACATACTTATAATTTAGGAATTCCACTCTTGATATTCATTCTATAGGAAATTTTGCACATCAAAACCAAAAGATATGTCTAAAAATGGCTTTTACATCATTATTTGAATAGAAAAAAGGAAAAATTCTAACAACTTAAATGCCTTCTGTGTGAATATAAGAATGAAAATTTTATAGTATAAATTGAATAAATGGCCTTCAGAAAGAATGAAGTGGATATACATGTATTGACATTTTAATCTTAATATATAATGCTGAATAAAAAGTTATCAAAGAATACTACTACATGGTTTCATTTTTTATAAAGCTTAAAACATATCAAACTAAATAATATATATATATAATTGCATGTACCACATACATATGGTAAACCTTCATGGAATGATGTTCACAAAATACAGAACAATGTTTGCTTTATGTAGGGGAGAAAGGAAATCACAGGTTTTGGTTCATTCTAATTCTTAAGCTATGAGGTGGGTACATGAGTGTCTGTTTTGTTGTTATTCTTTAAGTTGCTTATATAAATTATACTCCTGGGCTGGGGTTGTAGCTCAGTGGTAGAGAGCTTGCCTAACCTGTGTGAGGCACTGGGTTCAATTTTTAGCACCACATATAAATAAATAAAATAAAGGTCCATTGACAACTAAAAATATGTTTAAAAATAATAAATAAATTAGATTTCTGTTTGGGTAACGTTTTTCATTAAAGCTAATCCAATTATGTAATTTAAAAGTAGTATATTGATAAATAAGGTCCATTTTCTTGTTTAAGAAAACATTTTAAGAATTTAAATTTAAGAAGCAGTTGCCATCAACTCTAAAACAAATTGTTTTTAAGTTTCTAATTATTTTATACCATATTCATACAACACACATATATAAACCAGCCAAAGCAGTTTAATATAGGTATCAAAATAGTGCTAATCAATTCAAAATAACAGGATAATAAACTATAGTAATTTTCATCTTTAATATCTTGGCTAAAGTTTTATTTTAGTCTTCAAGTTATTCATACAGAACTTGATCAAAATAGATAAAGGGATATTCTCACAGTGGCAAAAATGACAACGTCTAGCCTTGTAGAATTCAGAAAATCACCCATCTTCCCTTTTAGAATACGTATTATTTCTACATTTGTGGTTGGGAACCATAGAAACCATGGTTGAAAACATTGTTGGAACAAGAAAACATGACTATTTTTAAGACTATGATGATTTAGAATATAATCAGCACCAAACTAGTAAGTTGTATGGAATTAGGTTGATGATATATGTGGTGCTGAATGGATCCTGGCAACCTCTGATCAAATGCCTTCCAATTAGACATCATAACAGCTTCAGGGTGTGAGTCCTCTGAACCAGGACGTGGATAAATATTTACATAAATCTGTTGCACAGCTGTACTCTATTATATTAGTAGTCTGTGTGGAGGGGCATATCACATGTCTATAATGGGAATGTTTTGGGGTTTATCTACTAAATATATCTTTTAAGAAACATTGAAAAAGCTTTATTATGAAGTATACATACATAGTAGAAATGTGCAAAAGGAAAAGATAGACACATTATTTTAAAGGGAACACCAATATAACTTCCATTCGGGTTAAGAAGTAGAATGTGGCCAGTACCCCAGCAGCCCCATGTGCCTTTCCTCACAACAACCTGCTCTGTATTGCTGATGTTTTGTCCATTAATTTCTGACTTTGCATTGTAGTTTTGCCTCTTAACTGCATTTTCAAAGCATACAATTTTATTTGTTCATGTTTTTTAACCTTTGTAAATTGAATCATAGTGGTTATGTTAATGTTTCTTACTTCTTTTGCTAAAACTGTACATTTCTTTTGTTTGATCACTTGTATAATAGATGTTCTCCTAAATCTTACTTACATCATCTAGCTACCATGCTTTGTAATTTCTACAGCACTCTGGGAATGGGAGGTACTGGTAATTCTATTTTAGCATGTATATAATTATAATCTCAATGACCCTTTCACCATTTAAAAGTACTTAGTAAAAATACTATAATGCTTATTGAGTATCTACCATGTGCTAGAGCTAGTGAAAAACTGATCATACAGTATCGCAGTTCCCAAGATAATGCTGCATAGTGTATAGGTTTAGCCCACTCTTTTTATAGATAAGAAAATGAAATTCAGAAAGAAAGTTTTTTGTTCTACAGCATGTATAGAATATTGTCTGTGAACTTTCTTTCATGAGAGTACTAGAGATATGACCTCCCCTGTTGCAAGAGGTCTAGAGGAGGGCAGTCTAAATAGGGCAGGAGGGTGGGACAAGCACAGACCTGAGAGTTACGTTACATCAGTTTTACACTGTCATTATCTAGCTATGTGACCTAGGGTAAGTCATTCACCCTCTCAGGGGCTCAGTTTCATCATGTGTGAATGAGGTTGTTTATTAGTACTTTTCAACTTGAAGTTTAAGGAACATCCTAAGTTCTTATTTTAAATGCAGATTCCAGAGCTCCATTTGAATCTCCTTGCCTGGGAATTTATATGTTTAATATACATGAGTGAGGACTCTTTAAATTCTAGGATAGAATTTGAACTTCTGTAACCTTTGTATCTTTCATCAGAGCTAAGTGCCTTCTTATTTCATAGTTCTATGGATTTTGCCAATAAAAATAAATACAAAGCCAATAAAATTTAAGATGCTAAATAAACACTAATTATCATTGTTATGAATAAATAGCAATAATACAGGTCTAGGGCACTAGTTATAAAGATAGTTTGAAATAGTTTGATGTTTAGAAACTGAATGAAAAAATACAGCCTCAATGAGATTGTATCCATATTATTAAAAACTATTGATACACTATAGGAGGAAAATCATCATAGTCTCTCAACAGTACATAACAGCATCTGTATGATCAAAAATGCATATAATGAGTGCAATTCAGTCTTCATAGGAAAACTAAGTAGTTGTTTACACTCTCAAGACAACTTTAAAAAGTCAGCTCATTTAATTATAAAATATGCTAAATATATCCCCCAACAGATTGAAGACAATCTGTTCACTGATTTATTTTTAATTTGATATTGCATTCCTTACATGTTTTTCAAATTATTTTGTGACTATTTAGGGGGAACTCTTTTTATACTATTAATACCTTCGTAGGGTCATTCTTTATATTCCAAGGAAGTTGTGTCAAATGATTAATTTCTCTTATTTTTTTGTATTTTATTTTTCATGGAAATAACCAACCTCAAATTGTGTAACAGTTCTGATTTTCCACTCAACAGACTCTGCAGTTGTCTCAAATCTATACCTGGTGTACTTCTGTCAGTAAGAAGACTCACAAAACAGCAGGGATAGAAACTTCCAGATTGATGATTGACCAAATACTGGGGTACTGCAGCCTAACCATTTAGCCCATAAAATTAACCCATCAAAGGTCTTCATTCGTGATTTGTCTTCTTCCATTCACCTGACATCTACTGAAGGGAGAACCACTGTTTCTGCAGCTGAAACAGTGTTGAACACTGTGGTTGGTTTAATTTTTTTGTATCAGCTGATACAGAAGCTAACTAAAACTTAGCTTATCTGTTCATTAGTTACCAACTTTTTCCTTTCTTAGCATACACAATTCTTTCTGATGAATAGCTTATTATAGTTTCCATAGCAATGAACTCTTAACTTACAGTCTTATATACTGATTTTGTTACAGATTACCTTTTGAAAGAATAGAGACTTAAATTATAAGCAATACTTACGATTTAAAAAATACGTTTAATATTTTGTTAAAAGCTATCTAAGGTTTAAAAACAATAGCAACATTAAGTATTTTGGAAGAAAATTTTAAAAGTCCAAAATAAGTATTTTGGACGTGATTTGGAGATAGACATTTACTTCATACTTTATTTTCTGTCCAAGTTTTTAATAATATACATTACATTTTACTTTCTGGGGTATTTTATTCATTGTTATTCTTGAAAATTGCTATTATTAGAGCAATTATTTGTTGATTATTAACTCTGACTATAACCTAGCAGAGATCAAGGTCATGGGCTTAATTCTCACATAGTCCACTTAGTGCTACTTGCCTTGGGGCCTGCAGCACCATTCCTAGGCTGCTTCTAGCCATTGTGAACATGGATGTAATTGGACCCATGAGGTACTTTAAAAGAATCTGTAGTTATTAATAGAGAATCAATCAGAATTTCATAAATCTATTCAGAGTGATTCAGTAATATACACAAAAGCACACTGAAAACAAGTGCTTTTAAAATTGTGTCTTCAATTATTTGTTCTTTCCTTCCCCCTCAAAAACAGAAGAAAATGGGAATTCTCACAAAAATTTTCTTTTATATTCTTTCTCCTAGATATTCTAAAGATTTCTCTATCATTTTATATGTTTTTTTTTTTTTTTTTAGAATAGCCTTTTAATTTTAGTTCCAAAATGTCTCAAATTTTGCTTTTGGCTTTTTGATCCCCTCTGTTTGACAGTCACGTCTTTTTGTGCTCTGCTAGCCACATCCCTGAGACACATGGTGAAGTTTAGAGAAAACAGATAAGGTCATATCAGATGCCTAGGCAGTAGGGCTGCCTTCAACTCTTGCAACGTGGTATTGTCACCATTAAGGATCCCTTAACTAACCTTAAGTACATGGTCTACAAGTTCTAATATGATTGGATTCATGACAAGTTTAATAGTACAAAGCTGAAAAATGAGAAGCTTGTCATCAGGAAAATCCATCTCCATTTTCCAGGAGCAAGACCCTATCAAACACAGTGATGCTGGTGTTGAATATGTTGTGTGGAGTCCACTGATATCTTCATTGCCATGGAGAAGACCAGGGTTTCTTTGAAGTGTGGAGCTAAAAAGATCATCATTTCTCCCCCTTCTGTTGATGCCTCTGGGGTACTGCAGCCTAACCATTTAGCCCATAAAATTAACCCGTGTTTGTGATGGTGTGAATCATGAGAAATTCAACAACTACCCAAGATTGTCAGCAATCAAGATTGTCCTGCACTACCAACTACTTAGCCTCCCTGGACAAGCACATTCATGACAACTTTGGCATTGTGGAGGGACTCATGATCACAGTCTATGCTATTACTGCCACTACAAGGACCATGGATGGCACCTCTAAGGAACTATATTGTGATAGCTGTGGAGTTGCCCAGATCACTATCCCTGTGTCCACTAGTATAGCTGAGACTGTGGGTAAGGTCATTTCTGTATTTAATGGGAAGCTCACTGGCATAGCCTTCTGTGTGCCTATGCACAACTTATCTGTTATGGTTCTGAGCTGCCATCTAGAGAAAGCTGCTAAATATGATGACATCAAGAAGGTGGTGAATCAGGCATTGGAGGGCCCCCCTATAGTACATCTTGGGCTACACCAAGGAACAGGTTGTCTTCTGTGAAACCCATACTTCCACCTTCAGTTCTGGTCCTTGCATGACCCTCAGTGACATTTCCTCAGATGACATTGAATTTGTCCACAGTGGCAGAATGGTTGACCTTATGGTCCAACTAGCCTCCAAGAAGTAAGGGCCCCTGGACCACCAGCTTCAGCAAGAACATGAGAGGAAAAGCCCTTCAGTTGCTGGGACATTTGTGCCCCAGCTAAGTCCCACAACACTCTAAGAATCTCCCCACTTTGGTTTTCATCCCAGACCCTCTGAAGAGGGAGTGGCTTCCGGAGCCCTACTTTGTCATGTACCACCAATGAAACCCACTGCACCCTGTTGCCCCATCCCCTTCCATTTTTTTGTTTTATCCTTCTGGACGCCTTCAATCAGACAAGCAAGATGTCTGTAAGGAATATAAATAAATATAATTTTTATATTGTCTTCCAGAACATTTTAGATTAGGATTTTGGACATCTTTGATATATCTGGCACCCAAGCAACTGAATTTCTCACTATTCTTTTTTTGTTGTTGTTGTTGTATCATTTTTTTACAATGTTTTCAAAGTATGATTAGTATTCTGATAAGTAGTTGGGAAACTTTTTGGTTTGATGTTAGAAATTTCAGTTATGTGATGAATAACTTAAGATGGTTTGGCTGGGGTAATTGTGAAATGGCAAGATGGATAATTATTTGATATTTCAGTTTTAGGTTGTGCTTTAAGAGCAATTCTTAGAATAGGCCACCCATTATTTGTTGCTTCCTGTTTGTTCATGGATAACTTATTCCATAGAGACACCTTAGGCTTTGAGTGTTTGTACTGTTCCTTATCAGTACTACTGTTTCAACTATTACCAACTTACTAACACGGATGTCTGTCAGATATTATTAAGGTCAGATGAGAAAGAGCACAGAACAGTTCATTTGTTGTTGAAAAATGGACTCTAAAGAAATATGGCATTCTCTAACACAGTTTGCCATTTAGCCATTTAGCCAGTTTTTATCCCTTCTCATTTCAATGAAACAGCTGATAGAAGGAATTTTTAAGTTTTGTGTCAGAAATTGGTAGCTTGGATCTGTAAGCCTTAAGCCACAGTTTTCATAGATTCACAGGTTGGCAAACTGGATAACATCACACTCTTGTCTTTTGTAACTATTTTCACTTTATGTTGCTTTTTCCTTTTCAAGCCTTTCTTCATGTTTTCTTAAATAATTAAAATTATGTTTAGTTATTGCTTTAGTTTGCTTTCTGTTTGTATAACTGAATGCCACAGAGTGGGTAATTTATAATGAAAAGAAGTTTATTAAACTTATGATTCTGGAGGCTAAAAAAGTCCAGGCATCTGGTGGGGCCTTCTTCCTGCTTCATAGCATGGAATACGGTATCACATGATGAGACAAAGCAAGCAAACCAGAAAGATGGCTTTTATAACAAAAGCACTCCTGAGATAAGCTATGAATCCATGAATTAATTGATCCCATTCATCTCCCAAAGGTCCCACCTTTCAAATACCATTAACATGTGACTTTGGGGGATTAAGTTTCCAACACATGAAATCTATGGGACACATTCAAATCAATAATTGTATAAGTAATTCATGAATATACTCTTTCTATAAAGAAAAAAAAAATCAGACATTATAAATAAAGTCCAAGTCCCCTCTGCCCACATACAACCCCAGTGGCTTTTCTAGTGGTTATCATAGTTATTAACAATTGGTGTGTCTTCTTTTAACTCTCTTTATGCATTCATACACATGTATATATAAGGTAGACTTCATAGATAAATGTATATACATGTGAATATATAGTTAAGATGTGTCATATTTCCTTGTTTCTATTTTAGATCTTTTGGTGCTCAGAATAGCTGTTAGTTGGGTTTTGGTACAGTTGGTTAAATATATCTGCAGGCTTTGTCACATTCCAGGCTCCCTTTTCCTTATCAGGCTCCCACACATTTCTAATGATAACCCTTCACATTTTCTTTTTATTTTGGCTTCACAATATAGCTCATTGTGATAACACACTTATAACTCTCAAATACTTCATCTTATCACCAAATATATTCTGATCTCAGCTAGGAAATTGTGATGATTCAAACAAAATTGATCAGGAAAAATACTTTTTTTTTTCTGTTTCCACTCTCAGTTTGGTGGCCATCATGGCAGTATTAAGCAGCATGGAATACCAGTTAGGAATTTTGAAAACAAGAGTTATACTTTTTCACCTTCTACCCTTTCAAAGAAGGTTTTATGACCTTGAGAGTCTCAAGTTATTTTGATAGACTTATACTCTGGGATGGAATCATTGTTTCTTTGAAATGGAAAAGATAGATCACTTTGTCACCAATATTCATCAAAGGCCACAATATGGCCAGGCCTTTCAGGAGATTTGTTCAAGTTAAGTGAAAGTCAAGTATTTGTAAATGAAATTATATTTTATTTTATTTTTTAGTATTTTTTTTAGTTGTAGTTGGACATAATACCTTTATTTTATTTATTTGTATGTGGTACTGAGGATCTAACCCAGCGCCTCAAATGTGCTAGGCGAGTGCACTACTGCTGAGCCACAACCCCACCTTGACATTATATTTTAAATGGTGTAGGAGAGTGTCTAATGCAGGAATTCTGGTTTCAAGACACCCACCTAAAACCATCAGATTGTTGAATTCTAAATCTGCATGCTCTCTTACTGCTTTTTGGTCTGCCATCTTCTCCTGATTTTACAGTGGTCTGCTCTTCCTCCTTTACCTGTTAGTTTCTGTTTGCTGCAACCATAGTTTGTGCTTGGTTTTGTCAATCAGTCCTTTAATCTGTCAATAAACTAGCCAGTCATGGACAATCTTGATCCCATCACTTGTGTCCTTGGGGGTTGAGATTGATATTACATGGTACAAGTATGGCTGTCTGGACTGGTTCATTGGATGAGAATAAGGGAAAGGTAGTTTTCAGAGACAGAGGCTGTGGATAGAGGTGGTACCTCCAGACATATCTGCCATCAGAAACACTGAACTATTTAGTGAAAAGTTCTTTGATGGATATGGCAAAATAGTTGATTTTTTCCTTCTTTCCTGGAACAAGAATAACTACCCTTTACCTTCTTTGCATAGCACACTGGTACAATAAAATATGCATTATTATCAGCAGAGGCATGGTGAGGGTAGAATTGTTGGAAGTACAGACTGATCCTATGATGGCAAATTCCCATGGGCCCAGGGCAGGAGGAGAGGAAACAATTTTTTTAAAATTTAATTTTAAGCCTGTTTGGAAATTTGCAACTTTTCTTAGGTTTTACAATTTAAGTACCAAAAATTTATGGATTTAATTCCTGTTTTAGTACCTGTATTTCAGATTCTTTAGCAAGTCCACCTGGTTCTACCTCATATAGGCTGAATATGACTGTTTCTCATCATATCCATTGACTGTTATTTCTTTGCTTAGTTCCTCCAATTCTTATCTACACAATTAGACTAATTTCTAACTCTTTAATGGTACATAAGAGCTTGCATGATCCAACCTCAGCCTATCTCCCAGACTTCACCTCCTACACTCTCAACCTAATGTAAAAGCTAAGATAATCCAATTACTAGAAAAAAAGGGAGTAAATCTTTGTGACTTTGAGTTAAACAATAGTTCCTTAGATATGACATCAAAAGCAAAAGTTGTGAAAGAATTACATAAAATCAACAAAAATTGTGCTACAAAGAATTACATTAAGAGGAGCCCGGGTTGTGGCTCAGTGGTAGAGTGCTTGCCTAGCATGTGTGAGGCACTGAGTTCAATCCCTGGTACCACATAAAAATAAGCAAATAAAATAAAGGTAAAAAATTTAAAAAATACATTAAGAAATGAAAAGATAACACACAGGATAGGAAAAATATTTGAAAATCATACGTACAATAAGAGACTAATGTCCAGAATCTATAAATAACTCATAAAACTCAATAATAAAAAGCTGATTCAATCACAAATGGGCAAAGGATTCCAATAGAAATATCTTCATAGAAAGCAATTGACAATAAACATAAATAAAAATGCTTAACACCATCAGGTTTTAGGGAAATGAAAATCAAAGGCACAATGAATTATAGTCATGCATTACTTATCAGCGTGCTTACATTAAGAGCTATTCATCACATTTAGAGAGGAAGGAAGATGGCGGCGAGGGGAGCGCATTACCCCCGTGTGCTGCTTCACTGTGTGGGAGTATGACAAGTCAGGACGGCTAAAGGATATCTTGTTAGGAATTTCCAGCAATAGTGGGGTGTGCTGGAACCTGGAGGAAGGATTTCCATCGCACGAGGATCGGCTACGGGGACTCAAACGCGAGAGGTTTGTCGCACGGAGGGTAACACTGCTTATTCAGCAAATCGCCCCGCGGCTAGAGTCTGCAGCGCGCGCTGGGATAGAGACGCAGGGTTACAGCGCTGCAGTTTCTGCCAGCCGCGCAAGCACCGCACTCAGGGCTGAATTCTGGGTTCGAGACGGGGGAAGGAAGCGGTCCATCTCGGTTCTCCACACCGGTCAGACCACAGAGGAGGCCAGCAGCCACCATGTTGGTAAACTGACGTCACCATACCTGTTTTTGACTGACCGCAGCTCATTCAGCCATAGAACAGGTAATTTGAGGCTGCAATTCGCCTGCGGCTTGCAGACAGATTGCTAGGGTTCAGCGCCTGGGTGCTTCTTAGAATCTGATCTTATCGGAGTGAACACCGAGCGCGGGGCGGCCGAGTTCCGGCTCCCGGAACCGTCCCGGAACCGCCCTGGCTCAGGGCTGCGGAGCCTGCGGAGGCTGCTTCTTGGACCCTGCTACTATCAGAGCAAACACCAAGCACTAAGCAGCCGAATTCCGGCTCCCGGAACTGAGCCCGCGGGGACTGCTTCTTGGAGCTTACATGTATAGGAGCTTACACCGAGCACGGAGCGGCCGAGTTCCAGCTCCCGGAACTTCCCTGGACCGGGGCTAGGAGCCCGCGGAAACTGCGTCTCGGTCCGGGTCCTGCTGAGGGCCGGTCAGGACTCACCCGTTGCTTGGGTTGCCCGGCAAGGGGAACGAAATGCTGCCATTCGCATAGGATACCAACATGGCAGATATCTGATGTCAGCAGAAAGCGGTGGAGGAGAGATCTTCATCAATACCAACGGTGACATAAGCAGTTGGTCTCCTGGTAAGGGGGGTGAGGCTCAGTCACCCGAGTCTCCTCAATTTGTCCTCGAGCCAGAGGGGAGGAGCCGGGCCGCCGCCAGCCCCCGGAGCAGGCCCAGCGGCTCGCCAGCGTGGTGACCGCGTGACCCCAATTGGAGAGGGGGCGGAGCGGAGCCGCCACCCACACCCGCCAGGTGGGCAGACCCACGACCCAGTAGTACATGGGCGTGGTAGGAGGGGCAGGGCAGAGCCGCCCTTCGTGCTTGCAAGGTAAACAGACCTGTGACAGCCTGGCGGGTCAGGCCCAGTGGCCTGCCAGT